GTGAGGGGAGCCGTGCCGGGGGAGGCGGGACCAGAGGGGAGCCGTGCCGGGGGAGGCGGGGCGGTGAGCGAAGATCTCGTCTGGGGCTGTTCCCGCACGGGGCTCGCGGCGGCTTCCCGTCTCCACAGCGACCGCGGGCAGGAGCCCCGGGGTGGCGCGCGTGCCCGGCGGCGGAAGTCCCGCCCTGCCGCTGAGGCGGGCTGCGAGCAGAGGCGCGGGTTGGCCGCGGCCCGGGTCCCTCACGGCGCGGCGGCCGCGTTGGCTGCCTCGGTGGGGGCCGCGGGGCCGACCGCGGGCTGGCACGTGAGTCCGGTTCCGCCTCCTGCTGCCGCCGCCTCTGCCGGGGGCGCGGGGCGCGGGCAGGATCCCGGCCCCGCGGGAGTGGCGCCGTGAGGGGTGAGGTGAGGTGAGGCGGGGCCGGCCCGCGCCCCCCGGCAGAGGCGCCGCCATGAGCGGGCCCGAGGGGACGCGGAGCGGCCGCYGTTCCCTGCAATTGAAGTTCGTGCCCGACGAGGAGGTCCTCAGGCACATCACCGATGACTCAGGTACAGCCGGTCCGGGGCATAGCCCAGCCCAGCGCCGCCCGCGGCGGTCCCCGGGAAAGGGGCTCTGTGACATCCTACCCCGGTGCTGCARAGCCTCGCAGCAGGACGAGGCTTCCGGAGTCGTTTTCCCTCGCGTACCTCCTCCGCGGAGTGTCTCTGTCCCAGCCCGGCGCTGGACAGGCTGCAGGGGGGCGGGTACGAGCTCTCGGTCCGCGCTCCCCCAGCAGCAGCGTGTACCRGGTGTCTGCCTGGGGAGCGGCACCGGGAGCCTGCGAACTCCTCGGGCGTGACGCGGTTAAACATTCGGACAGTCAGAGCGGAACGAGGCTCCAGGTGTTGGCTGTCCGAGTGTTTTGCAGCAGGGCTGACTACTTTTAAGGTGGGGACCCTCTGTGGAGATGTTTAATATTTGCCCGCACAAGGCACGGATCATCCGGATCAGACTTCAGTGCTGGTCCTGTTTTGAGCAGAAAGTCGGTCTCCAGTGGGGTTTAAGCCTAAATTCTCCCATGAGTGTATGACGGCCTAGAGGCAGGATATTTTGTAATTGCTCCCCTTCGCTAGGAAAAGGACTGACAAGTGCCATCCCCTTTGCATGCAGTTTGATACTGTAATGCGTGAGTCACTCTAATTTCTCCCTCCACTGTGGAGCTGCTGTTCGCTGAAATGGCTATCTTGCCCTCATGGACTGCAGGAGCCAGCGTTTGTGGTGAAGGAGGGGTGAATGGCTGTAGGGTCGGCTGCCAACCAGCAGAACATCTCAAAGTTGAATTTATTTAGTGATTTGCATCGCAGGAACCTGGTCTTTTAAGTCGGGTGGCTGCATATTACTGCAATAGAAATAATGAAATAGCAGGAGGTTAAAACTTTTATTGCAATTCTAGGTACTAAAGCACGGAAGGACAAGGCTCAGCTGAGTGTCAGTGTGAAGAGATTTGTGAAGAAACTTGAGGATATTTCAGATAATGAAGCTCAGGAGATCCTGGAAGAGAAGAATTATGTTGCTGCTCTTGGAATATGTGCCCAAGGTATTAGCAGGAGAAAACCTAACACAGCTCTGACTTCAAGAAATTCTTGCAGTGTTAGGGTTGTACAATGTTGGTGAAATTGCTTTTGAGGGCTGAATCTGCTCTGGCTGTGCATATGGTAACAGATAGAAGAGATGATTATGGTTCTAGGAATTGATTATGGTATTTGTTTTATAACACCTGCAATATAAAGCCAAATAGTGAAATGTTGCGTTCCATCTTTCTTGGGTTGGAAATATTGTTAGTGCTTTTAAAATAGCTGTGAGTAACATTTCTGTTCACAGATCCAGTGGGAAATGGCRCAAATRTRAGTGGTGGTGAAGTTTACTCATTCCAGACTCCCAAACGYTCCAGTAAAATGGCAGAACTGGGTATGTTTTGCTCTATCTTCTCTCATTGTTGCTCTGTGGTCTTTTTTTGAGTACTCTGTTAATATGATTTGTTGCTTATTTTTATTTATAATATATTCTTGTAGTATTTCAATATCTTTTATCTGTCTTTGAATCAGTCTTCCTCAGAAACAAAAACACAGGGTTAGGTCAAAACAAAGACATGGTGGGGGTAGGAAATAAACATAATAAGCACATAAGAAAAAGTAGAAGTATATTAATGCTGGGAGAAAGTCTGCATATAAGTGCCAAAGGATGGCAGGTGTAACTTAGAAGAATATGAGAATATCCTCATTATGTAGCAGAGAATCAAAAAAGGCAGTGTTAGCTCTGTGTGTCAGGGGATTTGTCCTACTCGGAGTGTCTGAGCATGTTTGTTGTGCTAACTGTGGACTTAGGAAGAGCAAGCAGAAAATGRCAGTTCCAGAGAGGGTGGACTGTTTTGGTTCAAATAAGATGCTTGAGCTGGGTTATCATTATGTTTCTCCTCACTTGAAGAATGTTCGTGTGTCCAGCACCATCTGAACTTTGTTAGTGTTAGTGTTAGTCACAATTAATGATACATTCTACAGAGGATCWTATGAGGGAGAGGGATCATCCTACTGCATCACAGTGCAGAAACTGGTTTTGGTGCCTCTTAGTTTGTGCTGTGTTTTGGGAAGTTGTGTGTTTCCTATCTTATGCCTTCTTCTGCAGCAGGGTAGGTTTCACTGGTGCTCCCTCCTGGAGCCATGACTAAATTTGAAAATGGAGGAAAGTCATACAATGGCAGTCTGTTAGTCCCAGTGTTGGTACATGGAATGGGCTGTTGGTCATGCAGTGGTAGGGACTGKTAGCCGGGTATGGCAGCCTTTCTTATTCAGATCAGTCATTCAAATTCAGCTTGTACTGGTAGGGAGTAGGCACGGGTAGATAGTTCTTGCCAGGAAAATGATGTGTTTGCTGTACCYGATGCTCTGTTTTGTCCAGCTGAGCAGTCTTAATGAACTAAGTGAGCCTGACCAAGCCTTTCTCTATTTCAAAGACATGATCTCCCAGGGAGCAAAACATGCTCTGGCATTGCGTTGGCCATACTTGTAAAATTAATCAACTGATGATGACTTTCTGTCTTTGAAAATCTTTGCTGAGGATTACATCTATCATTAGGGTTAGAAAAAAACTGGAAGCATCTGGTTCACTTCCTGAAATAGCTAAGGAATTAATATGTAGAGAGCATTTCAGGTATATGGCTCCAGTTTTGACTAGCCAGAACTGGAAGTTTTGTACTTGACATGTCCTTCCTTCCCTTCCCTTCCCTCTGTTTCCTACAGCCTCTGAATTAGCCCAGACACCAGAAAAGGATGTGGTACCTGATCATTCCAAGTGTCCTGAGAAGATGGCCAAAACCCCTCAAAGCAGCAGTAAGTCCTGTGATGGTTTGGGGAACTGAAACTGAGTGAATGGGGGTTGTTTCTGTTTGGGTGATGGAGGGGATGCTTGAGTGCCAGTTTTTGTCATGCTTGAGCATTCTAATCAGCTTAACACTATAGGCTGACCTGTTTGGTGTACATGGCCTGTGCTTTGCCTGGGTGTCAGATCTCTTCTGCCCTRTTCCTATAGAGCAAACATGAACTTCTTTCTCATCTATTGCTGTTACATTTAACAAYTTCCTCTGTGTTAAACAGAAATATTTGCACTTGYGAGAGTTATGAGCTGGGCTGAMGTRTTAAACACCAATTGGGTAGGACTATGTGGGTGTTCATGTGTAAAAAAAATTCGCACTTTATTATGTAATATTTGACACTTAGTGCTGCAGGGAGAAATACAGATGGGAGAAGTCAGTGCAGGTCAACACTAACAAGAATATGTGCATTTGTGCTGGGAAATGGAGTCTGATATGCCCAGGGAGAGCACATTAGCTCATTTTTCAGCCTCCTGCTGGAGTCTGTTCCTCCTTCCTGGCTTCCCAAAGCTGTGACCAGAATTAAAAGCTGCCTTCTGTGGTAATAACATTGACTGTTGTGCCAGCTGACACAGGCAGGCTGCTGGAGCAACCGCAAACTCACAGCCAGAATGCAGAGAGTAAACTTACTTCTGTTACCTTCCCAAAGCAACACCTGAGCAGAGGCACATGAGTGGAGATGTAGGTACTGAGTGCTGGTGCAGGCACCCTTAAGTTTGGTCCAGTGCTAGAGAACCATCAGCCTGCTGTTTCCAATGGTTTATCAGTGGTTTTGCACATGTGTAGTTTATCACCATGCTGTGATCTCCATGTTGTCATCTTCTCCATACCAAGACTGGGCACTCAAGCCTGTCAGTTAGGGAGTCTCCAGGCCTACCAAGCACCTATGTTATTATCTATACACACATGTTCTACTTCTCAAGGCAKAGAGAGGATAAATAGCATTAGATATGGTGTGTCTGTTTTTCTGCATTGCTACTTGAGTCTTTGCTATCCCCAGCTGCACACTCACTTGAGCATATTTACAACTCTGCTTGCCAGTCTYCCGCTTCTAACCCATTCTCTCAGCAACTCTCTTTGTTCTCTCCTTGCCTACCTGTGAGGAGCTAGCGGCTTCCCTCATAGGATTAACTATCCAGGGAGCTGATATTCTGGTGCGGTGTACCTTTGAATAGTGAATGCCTGTTTTTATAATGGATGAACGTGTGTCATGGTTGAAAATACGCAATACTCTGTACAATGTTGCTTCTTCCTTTTCAGAACATTCAAGTTCAAACAAAGTGCAGCAGAGGGTGAGTGATGGCTTTACATTGCTTGGATTTTGTGTTTGTTTTTTTCCCCCACTTCTAAAACTTGAACTGGCTGATTACAACTGTTCTAGAAAGGAAGGACCTTGAAAAGMATAACCCACAGTAGAGATGTCTCTTCTATTCTGACCAGACAGGAGAACTCAAGTGAGAACCAGAACTACCATTAACCAGGACTAAGGAGTTTGGAGTCAGTGGGCAAATAGTGGGTTTGACATGGGTGAAATTTTAATAATCAGTATAATAATTTATTAATTAGTATGAGTGGAAACTATTTCCTTGCATCAGACAAGKGAGGATGCTAGACAGTCCCTTAATACACAATTAAACTCGTAGCTTTCCAGTTTCTCACTAAAGGAAGAAACAGCCCTAATTGTAAGGGATGATGTTGGAGCAGGAGWTCAACAACTGATGCTGTTCAGTTTCTTACTTAGCATTGGTTTATTTAAAAAAATGGAATAAATGGGGGTATAAGTTGATGTCATGTTTTACAATGCTGCAGAGAGATACAGTCCAGAACTGTATAGCCATCAGTTGTGGTGGCTGYAGAGTGAAAGAGTTGGCTTTTTAAAATGGTACAGCATCATAGCAGAAATGTGCACACAGCTTTTCTGGTATAAGGTTCCAGGATGAGGTACACCTGAAGAAGACATGCTGTTGGTGATGCCATATTCACTTGTTGATGATTTCATGTCTGCTTTGTCAGGATCAGCRAAAGTGATCAGGCACATGCTTTACATGTATGTAAGGAAACTACCACTACAGCTTGATCAGCCCAGACAGCTTGGATTCCTTTGCTGTACTTCTTGGCTTAGTATGCTGAGTGGTTTTCTGTCATTCTGGCAGTTATTTTTATAGAGGACTTCCAGATGACTTTGAGTAGACGGCATGATCTGGAAGGTGAATGCTGTGGGGGCTTTTCCAGTTTGTCATTACTTTGGTTTGACTCTTCGTGAGTGGCCATGATTGGCATCATGGTTGGAGATTTCACAGTTTTCTACCCCCCATCATGAGCTGAAAGAATTAAGACGCTTTTGGAACTTGATCCTGTCTCCCTCTGAATAGCAAAACAAGAACACTCCATACTTAACTGCCTCTGCTTTTCCAGTTTCATGTGGGCTGAAATAGTTTGGAAATGTAACCTGTCATTGCTTGGCAGAGGAGAGATATGTTTATTGTTGTAATGCATGTTTTTTTCTTTGCTGTTACAGAGCAAAAAGAAAGAATTTTTGTCCACCACCCCTTACAGACTCAGAAAGAGATTAGCAGGTAAAGATCAGCCTTTGCAAACAGCTCCCAAATCAGTGAGGCACTGTGTTCATGGGAGAGTGTTTTCCTGTTGAGCTTCTGTCTATGGTAGCAGTGTGACTGAAACAACCTGATTGATCCTGCACAGAGTGTAGAAATGTCCTTAAGGAAATCTAAGTMGACCTTTTCCCCACAATTGATTGCTGCTAAGGTGAGGAGTGGAAGGATTAGAAGCACCARTTTACTGAGCTTCAGTAACATGATCAAAAGAGACAAAACTTTGAGTAATCTAAYCCATGATGATACTTAGTGTGTGACCCAGTTACTTTAACCAGGCATAAAACATTTTGATGATGGCTGGGACATCCATGTCAAAGTATTTCCAGTAACTGGTTGGCTAAGCGTGTTCAGAATGAATACAGAGGAGAGTTTAGTCACGGTGTTTCATCTTCTATTTCTTTTGTTGAGAGTCCAAGACTGAGCCAGATTTCGTCTGTGCTCTTCAATCAGCACTGYTAACAGAGGTATTTTACAAAGCCTTTTTTGCAGAGTGTGACTTAGAAGATACTCAGCCTGCATGATTGGCATTTGGGAAAACTGACATAGAGATGCTAAGAGAAATAAGAAATGCCATTGTCTATTTTTAGTCACTTTTTATGGCACAATGATGTTTCTTGGTATCAAAGAGGAAGCTTTACTTAACAATACTTTTTGATCTTAGAACTGTGAAAAAAATACCCGTCTGTGCTTGCAATTCTCTTAAGCATTGATTTTATCTTTCTGTGAAATATATTTAGGATTTGTATGCTTGAGAAACATCTAAAGAATGTGTATGAGATGGTGCAAAATGGGTTCTGTTTAAGAAGTCATTCCTAGCTTTTAACRTTAAAATTTATGCTCTAGCTCCAGATCCCTGTTTAGAAAGTGAGAGTGAGTATTCTGCTTCCTGCTCAGAGGAGGAGGATGAGGAAGATCAGAAAGAAGTCAGCACTGCTTTATCAGGTCAGAAGACTCCAGGGCAAACTAAGGCTGCATCTACACCTCCTCCTAGAAACAGCCTAGCCAAAAAAAATAAGGAGGAAAAGATGGTGAGTGTGCAAAAATAYACCCCTAAGCTAGCAAACATGAAGGGATGAGTAGTGACAGCAAGCTGTTAGTGATCACACCTCACTATGAGGAAGAATTGCTAAACTCAGATCAAACCAGCTGGGTTGGCTTTTGCTGTACTTGTGAGCAATCCCTGTTGGACAGGCACCCAAGTGAACCTGTAGGCTAATCCAGTTTGTATCATTAGTAGCTTCAGAAGGAGAAGCCTAAGATGTCCATGGAGCAGGAGACCTTGTATTGAGACAGGATGAAGAAATTGATTCTGTAGTACCAAAAGCAGCAGACATTACTGTTCTGGCTTGCTGTTCAGCTTTGTTGTTTTACTTCCTTCCAGCTCCAGGGATCCCCACACTACCTAAAAATTACTGTTACGTTATCTCTCAGAATCCCTTGTCTCTCTCTTCAGGAAAGGACCATCTGACTAGGTTAGCTTTGGCAGAATGCTGCTATAGAAGCCATTTTTTMAAATATTTTCTGTCTTTTTATTCACCAAATGCCCAGTGTGTCATATTGGTTCTTAGGGAGGGGGTTAACTTGATAGCAGGAGGAATGTCACTGATCTTGCTGTCCTTTTATAGGGCAACCTGGTGGAGGAGTACTTTGAAGCTCACAGTAGTTCCAAAGTGCTCACTTCAGACCGAACACTGCAGAAGTTGCGGAAAAGAAGATTGGATCAGGTGCAGTTCATAATGAATCACACAACTCTCCGAGTTTTTTATTTCTGTGATGAAGATWTCCCTAATCAAAATTTCCTGATATTGCAATTTTCACTTTATTTCTGCTGATTACATGGTCAGTGGTAATGCTGATTTAGGTAGCAATTTAAGCAGTATGTTTTCTACTGCTGCTCTGAGCAAGGGCAGTATCCAGTTGTTTGAACCCAAGACAGTTGGTAAAATGCAGGAAAAAGGCACCATCGGGTGAGCTCACGGCTGAAAGCTGCTGTTACCAGAAAAAGTTAAAGTTTGATTTGGAAGAGGAGAAGAGGGAGAAACAGAATTATATAGATTTGCTTTAAAATAGTTTTTGTCAATGAAATGGTATGGGGAATTACAAACTGTCTTGACTATGTAGAGGAAATCAAGAGAGCTGATTTTGCTTGAACATTGCTGAGTCAAACCACTTGCAGAACTGGGAGAGCCCTGAAAGTTGTCAGTTAGATGTACTTTGTCCCCTTCCAGTTTCTAAGAGACAGGAAGGGTTTCGTTGTGGTTTCTAAATTCCTTGATTTTTCTCCATATGCTGCTTTCACAAGACAGTTCAAAGTAAGTTGTACCTTACAAGGACAGGTGTCAGGGAGTTGTGTAAAAGGCCYGGAGCTCTTGTGTCTGTGACTGCTTTGTGTACCCATTTTTGTTTTAAAAGATGGCATATATGCAGACTGCCTGAAGCCTGCTGTTGTCTGGAGTTGCTGCCCAGAGAAACAGCTGGATTTTTRACGAGTTTTTTCATAGCAGCTCTGGAAGGAAATCAAGGCTTACAGTGTTAAAGCTACTGCTGGCTTCAAAGTAGTCAAAGGCTTAGCAGTTCTGTCTCTCAGTGCCTCATTTGTCTGATACATTACAGCTGTCTTTCCAGTGTAAACTGTCTTCTGCTGCAAGGGAGGGTGAAGCAGAGTTGTTAAAAYTGAAGAGAAAGGGACACCAGCATAGATTTGATGCTAACTATCATGCTACTGTGCTGTTTAAACGTCAATATCACAGYTTATCTTTAAAGCTGAATTAATCCTTAGATTCTTGATGCTTTTGAAATAATACTTTTTACATTGAGCTGCAAATTATTTATTTTCTGCTGTATTTCTTTTTTAAGATGGTAGGGGTTTTGAGCTTTCTCTTGTGAAGACAAACACCTGAACCACTTCTAGGCATGTTGATTGAAGCCTTTGTTCCCATGAGCAGGGATGCAATGTTGTGTCTTCCTGATACAGTACTTAATGCTGTGTAAGCTCCATGTGTGTCCCTTTTTCCTGTAGTGGTTTTACCATACTTGGCAGGAAAAGAAAAAATACACAGTGTGGTATCTGTTCTAGTACTAGTCTAGGTGCTATATCCCATAATAAGGTTATTAATCTCTGCTTTGTGTCTCCAGTAGCAAAACTGGGCTTAGGGGGATCTTCATGGGGAAAAAAAAACCTAACCACAAACTGACAATTCTCTCTAGATAGGGAGCATGCTAGAGAGTGTTTTAAGGATTCAAGGTGTATCTTTTATTTGTGCCCAACTTTGAGTGATTGTTGTCTCTCAACACAGCAAACACTGCATGATCTTTTGAAAAAAGCTCCCCTTGCCTATGCTGCTGAAATTAGAGACCTTAACAAGCAACATGAATCCTTGTTTTCCAAATGGATGTTGCAATTACAGTAAGTATCCAAGAAGAATCACTGAACAAGCTTCGTAAAAAGGTACTGCCAGTAAACTTATCTTCATGTCAGTAAGTTCCTGTGGATGAATTAAGGAGCAACTTTTTTTTCTTTGTTTGCTTAAATTTAAAAGTAGGTGACATTAATTTAGTTCAGTGCTTCCTGTAGACTAAATCATATCTGATTAACTCCTTGAACTGTATGCCTGAAGTGCRGTGAAGTTGCGTTCTACCTGGCTAGTTTGTCTGTGCCTCTCTAAACCAAGCTAGGGGGCATTCACAAACAGGGCACATGAAGAATGAGAGAACAGGGAAAATTATGTGGGAAGTTTCCTTTGTCAGGGACCGTTTTTGTTTACAGCAGCAAGTTAGTAGTGAGTAGCCCACCRCTACCTTCTTCAGTCTGTGGCTATCTCCAGTAGTGTAGCAGTTAACTTTCAGTGCCTGTGGTACCTGATGATCTGGGTATGAAGAGTTTCTGTTCATGGGAAGGAGAARGGTGAACACTCAGGAAAGCAAATGGAACTATAGAGACACTGTGAGATTCTGAAGCACCTTAAAGAAGGCAATCCACCAGCTCTGAAGTTAAGTGCTGAGGCAGGGAGCCAATATTGGTGAGGAGAAAGCCCCTTGGAAGCTTTTGCAAGGGAGCAGAGTGTCAGGAAATTTGTGGTCCAAGGGGAGGGATAGAGTACATGCAAACGACATTAGCTTTCAAAGTTGGAAGAGGAGAAGTTCTTTGTGACTTGGTGATCTGGGCAAATGGTTAGAGATGTGTGGGRCGGGGCAGAAGGAGCAAATCTCTAGATGACAGTGAAGGCAATGTCATCTATTTAATACCTTACCTTTGCCCAGTGATGTTTGAGTAACGTGATACTCTTCTTTCTGATCAAAATAATGCCTTTCCTGCTTCTCTAACTGAAACAAAGCTTTGTGATTCCTGTGATGACCCACCCTTGAGAGTAAAGAAGTGCTTAAGATTCAAAAATGTTCATTGGTTGAAAGGAATGACAGAAGTCCAAGGGTTCACAAACAATCATAGAGTTTTATTAGTAAATCMCACACTTKGCATGATAATTGTTATGTTAGTCCCTGACCTCCTGTATAGGCACATGGCACTGGGTTTTGGATAAAGGGGCAGGGTGAAGGGGAAAGAGAAACTAAAGAGGTTAATTAAAAAGAGAGTAGGAGAGAGAAAAGAGATCRTGAGCCCTCGCTTCAGCATTGACCCAGCTGAGGGGATGCTGATCGTGGATTCAGCATTGATCCAGGTGATAAATGATGATCCAGCTGTGTTAGTTCAGGTGATGAGATGTCCAGAGTCTGGGGGGCACTGCCTGGSCTTATGCAGGGCGGTTGCCTTTTTATGGACAGGTTTCTCTGCTCCAAAACAGGTTTCTCGCTTTCTATGCTAATTAGTTATCATCTACCATCTGTTCTTTTAGGCCTTTCTGGAAATGGGTCASAGGGCTTTGGGAGTCTTTGGTAGTCCCAGTCCCACCTTATAGTCCTTGTCCCCTGCCAGCCAATCTTTCCTGTGTCTGCACTGTACATTGTTATTCTTTCTCATGGAAAAGTGCTGCCTTATCTCCACCTGGGCCCCCTTCTCCAGCCAAACTTTGTTCTTTCTCACAGCATGTTAGTACCAGTAGTCCTTGGTTATACCAGCAATTCTTGTTKGTTATTACTTAGTTGGCTTCACAGCCACGTGGTTGTTGGTGTTTGGGACATACTGTCAGCCARCTAATTACCTTCTGGGAACTGAGAGCTCAAGATTTTACTCTGGACAACTGTTTGTAGTGTTGTTAGAGAGTGGGCTTTAGTATACATCAGCCCCACCATAATGGAGAACTCAAAGGGTCTCACTTTCGACCGCTTTTATAGGGAGACAGGACAGTGGGCTTTAGTCAGAGTAGTTTTTTCATCCTGGCCACAGTYTGAGTCAGTAACTTTCTTTTTAGGTTCAGCAACAGAAATATTATTCCACTTGGATTGTTACTCAGGCAAGAAAAGTAAGTTTCCAAGGCTCATTAAAAAACATGTGCTCATTAGACAATATTACTTCCTGGGAACAGACGATGTTTCTGATAAGCTGGAGAGGAGTTTAGTCTAAGTGCAGTTCATCAAGGCTGAGGCCTAAGGAGCATTTGCTGTATCATAGTGCAGCCTGAGAGAGGGTGAAGGATGTGACTAAAGTCAGCTTTTCTGGGACTCTACAATTCCATACCATGTTTTCTTTATGGTTTCCTGCCTCTTCTTCTGTAGAGCAATAAGGATAAGAAATATATAATAATTAATAAGAAATATACATGAGTRTAGAGTAATTTTGGTTTGAAATTGTACCTGAGGGTCAGAAGTGGAAAACCAGTATGAAGGCTTGCTTTTTTATTTCTTGTAATTACTGTGACTTGTTATGTGTTGCAATCACTGGTGAGGGGATGCATGTGAATGTTGATTACCATTTCTTACCTGAAGTTGTAGATCGAATATTCTGTTCTAAGTCAATAGCATTTTCTCCCATAGATGCTTTGCTAAATTTGTGAGCCTCTAAGCTGCTAAAATGATTCTTTTTTAGGATGCACATGGCAGGTTTCAGATTCCTTGTAGCTAATCTTATTTATCAGTTGTAAGCTTAAGTTAAGCCTGGAACTGACAAAACGTGAAATTTTTAAAACTAAGATTGCTATGGATCATTTTGCTTAATTAATGCATGGACCCTAAACCAGACTTGTGCTTCTTTTGATTCAGTGTATTTGCACACTTTTCTGCAGCTTGGGTTTCAATATTGTGCTTTATGGACTGGGCTCAAAGCGTGATCTGTTGGAGAAGTTTCGTACATCWCTGCTCCAGGATTCTGTTCACTTGGTGGTTAACGGATACTTCCCCAGCATCACTGTGARATCTGTAAGTGTGGAAAAAGTTTATGGGTTTATGCAATCATCCTGTGTTACAGATACCTCTGAAGTCTTTCAATGTAAAATAYTAAAGAAACCTGCTGCATCCTGTAGGAACAGACTCTGAATGAGGAGCAGTTCCTCTCTTTTAATACTCTGAAGAAATTTTTCGATGCATTTTCCAAGGAATTGCAGTAATTTCTGTAATTAATAGATACTCTACACTGTACAACCTTGTTTTATGCCACTGTTTTGAAAAGGGATATATATTTTTTGCTTATGTTGACTGTTTTAGGGATTTTATGGTGAAAATCAGATTCTCGTATGCCAGTCAAGGGCTCAGTTTCAGATTTTCTGCACTTGTTTATCAGAGCCTTTTGTAAGGAACTTCTGTTTTCTTTTTCAGATTCTCAACTCCATCACAGAGGAGGTGTTGGACTATATAGGGACCTTCCGCAGCCCCCGTGACCAACTTGAATTCATTATTAAAAGGTTTAAAGAAGGTAAAATTATTAACTTTATGCATTAAAATGTTAGAGTCTACTTACTGTTAAGAGAGCCTGGACATTTTCTTTCCTTATTATTTTTATAGATGCAGTTACAGTTCTAGTGTATTGTTGTTGGTATAGTTCCTTGATCATCATTTATGCAACATATATGAAGACATATGTGCACTAGGAATAAAGGAGTACATACATGGGTAATAACCCTATGTAAGCTGTTACCTCAGTGTTTTACAGCAGTGTCAAACAAGCAGGTTAGAATTGTTTCAAAAGCAAAATTTGACAGATATTGTCTCATAAAATGCTCGCTGAATTATTTCTGAGTAATTCAAAAATACTCAGTTTTACTGCTTGTATATTCATACACAAATTGCCATGGAATCTTAATTGTGCATGGCATTTGTGTTTTAGAGTTTACATTCTGTTTCCCATCGTTACCTTATGAGTGTTTCTGGTGGGAGTAAGTGAAAAAGGCTGGGTAATAGCAGTTCCCACCTGAATGTACATAAGTCAGTCTTGCAGTACACTATAGCTGATCTGACTGGTTTCCATTGGCAGGCAAGTATGTATTTGCACAAAAACTGGTTACAGTTTTAGAATTGTTTCTGGACTCTGRGAAACAGTTGTTCCCAAGGATAAGTATAGCAGCAAGAAGCTAGCTGGAAGTTTTAACATCTACCATTTGCATTATCTGAGCTAGGTCTCTAACATTTTTCAGGAGTTGTTAAAATTTTTTAGGAAGTTAGTATGCTTTCGATCCAACCTTGAATAGAAAATGCTTTTTTTACTGTGAGGAGGAGCTTAAAGATCCTAGTCATGTAAATCAAAAGCGGCTGAACAAACTGTGCTTAGACTTCCATTCTAAAATATTTCAATGACCTTCAATCGCAAAGAAAAAAAAAAAAAATCACAGCTAATAGGGCAATTCCTGGTAAAGCTGTGAGCAAGTGGAAATGGATTATAACAGAAAAGCTTAAACTGAAAAAAGCAACCCTGTAGCTGTGATGACAGTGAATTAAGGAAAACCCTTTTAGGTGCTCAGAAACACCCAGGTTCATGCTAAGCTATACAAGGAAAGTGATACTGGAGTGATTTATGTGGAGAGTGATGGAATAGACTCGTGCTRYGCTGCACTGGGAACAAGAARCCAGCTTGTGTGCAGTTTCTTTRATTGGTTCTCTGCTGTTTTTTCTGACCTTGCAGATTCATCTTTAGAGCTCTATGTCCTCATTCATAACCTGGACAGCCAGATGTTGAGAGGAGAAAGAAGTCAGCAGATCCTTGCACAGTTATCCTCCCTGCCTAGCATTTACCTCATTGCCTCTATCGATCACATCAATGCTCCTCTCAGTGAGTTCYGTTGGGCCTGATCTAGCAAAGAGAAGCATCTGTGTTCTGTTTTGGGGCTGCTAAGCATGTTTCATCAGCTCATGTATTGCTTGCTATGTATTACTTATTATTCCATAGTATGTATTACTGTTGGTGTGTAGAACAGCTCTRTTGATGTATGTATAGTGGAGTCCCCATTTAGGGGAGGAATCTCCACACACTGAGAAGGGTCTTGTTCAAGCTATTTTACCCACTCTCTAGGCAGAGCATCCAGCTACAGAAATTTTTTTCACATWGTTGACTCTGGAAGGATTTACAATGTCTGTGCAGCTGACACGGAAAAAGGATGTGTGCAAATGTTTTGTGGCAGACAATTTATCTTGCTGTAGCTGCAAGTATCAGGGTCTATRTAATGTGATTTTCACAAGCATACATTGTTTCCTCAAGCCTAGAGTAGACCTACCTGCATTTTAATACTGCTTCTTTAACACCTTAGAAAAGATAAATCTCCCAGTTTTGTGTGCTCTTTCTTTCCTCTCTGTCTAGTGTGGGATCAAGCAAAGCTGAGCCTCTATAACTGGCTTTGGTATGAAACAACCACGTTTAGTCCTTATGTGGAAGAAACATCTTATGAGAACTCGCTTTTAGTACAACAGTCTGGATCTTTGGCTTTGAGCTCCCTAATGCATGTCCTGCATAGTCTCACTCTCAATGCCAGGTAAGACAGTGTTACAYTTCACAGTAGCACTTGCCAAGAACCCAGTCCTTACAAGCTGTATTTTCTGATAGTAGTGTTTGAGTTGAAGATGGTAGGACGGGGCTTCAGTTGATTGGTTATTTTAAATTAAGAGCATTTGGGTAGCAAACCTTGTCCAGTGATGAGATTCACGACCAGGACTTCGTGCATAAGGCAAAATTAGGTAATATTCTAATGGTGTGAGTTTTGGTTTGATTTTTATTTACTATTTTGATTTTCCTTTTTCCTCCTTTCACTTAGGGGAATATTTAGACTGCTTGCTCAGCATCAGCTGGAGAAGAAGGACAATCCATCTTACCCAGGTAAGTACTCACCTTTTCACATCTGTTTGGGGTATTGCTGTTCAGAGCAGCCCAGGGTTTTGGTATGCAGGTTATATCTCCAGCAACAGAAGTGCTGGGAACAGTTGGCTCAGTGAGGCTCAGTGTCATTCTAATGTCACTGTGTCTGAGRCAGGAAATCAGTAGACTGGCTGGTTCTGAAGGACTGCCTCTTGCATGCTTAGACATAATTGAGACCATTCATGGGGGGCAGTTGAGTTAAAAAAATTAAAATGAAGACTATGAATTTGCATAGCTTGCACTTAAAGGTCCTATCTAAATGACTTTTCATGTATCCCTGCTTTCTAGGATACATGTGGAATATTCTGTCACTGTAATAGGTGTTGCAGTGGATATGAATAACATTTTAATGGTAAAGAAAAAAAGATAGAGGAGTTGGAAATAAAGAGAGATAAACCATTTTAGAAAGTGCTGTTAAAATTCCATTAGGCAACTGGGTGACGGGAATGTTAATTCAGCTATTTTCCATTAATTACTGAAATATTACTTGTGCTGAATACTTTCAAGGGGAGATGTTACTAATAGCCACTGTGGTCTAAGACAAAGCAAGACTTTCAGGTGGATAATATGGTATAAGACCTGGAAAAATCTGACAATCTTACTACTTCAGTTTCTTGTTCTTGCCTTTTTCTGCTCCAGGSCTGTCTTTCCAAGACTTTTACCAGCAGTGTCGAGAGGCTTTCCTTGTGAACAGTGACCTGACACTCAGGGCACAGCTGACAGAATTCAGGGACCACAAGCTCATCCGAACCAAGCGGGTGAGTWCAGGGAAGAATTCTGGATATTCAGCCACTTTAAAGAAAAAAGATGCTTACTTGCTACTAAGTGAGGCTGTTAAAAACTCCTAGAAASTAGCAAGGGGCTGAAATTCTGTAAYTGCAGCTCTTTCCATGCCTCCAATTTGTCAACACCTTTTGCATGCATAGAGAGYTGTAGAAACAGTCTGCTTTGTTTATTCAGCAACCTACATACCGTTTTAAAAACTCTGAAAAGTAGTGGACTATGGAGCCTGCCAGTCTGCTTCCAGTASTATTACTATATTTCCATGCAGACTTGTCATAATAATGAGGCAGTATGGCAGTACAAGGTATGGATGCACAGTGTTGAGGAGCTTTATAGCATCAGACCAGCATAACCCACCAGAAGATTTCTCATTTAGTGACTTTTCTCAGTATTTGTGCATTTCCAGTGTTGCTCCAGTGAAATATTCAGGTTTTTAGTAATGTAATTGTTCAGAATCAGTCAGTGCTCATCCAGGCTGCAGATAAACACTAGCATTGCAGTGTGCTGTCTTGTGGCTTGCCTTGCACTGTACACTGGTGTTAACAATGTCTCTGTGTGTGTCTGTTCTCAGGGAGCTGATGGTGTGGAATACTTACTGATTCCTGTCGATGACAGTACGTTGACCCACTTCTTAGAGAAAGAGAATGAAGATGTGTAACATCTCTGTCCTCAGTGTCTACAGCAATTGCTTTTAATGGCTGCTGATCTCTCTTTCTCCAACCTCACAGCTGCTGCACTGAGAAGTAATAATTCCAACAAATTTTACTCGTTCAACTACTTCAGGTAGTTTGGAATGATGACTTCTGTAATCAAGGCCTCTCTTGCACTGTTGTTGGATTTGTTCTGCTTTATCTCTTAGCTCAGATAATGCCTTCTTCTATCTGTGCAATCAACCTTACAGCCAGAAAAACAAACTCAGTGAGACTGTGCCTTCTGCTCACTACCTCAGCAGACATGAGGGTTTTTTTGGAGCAATTTAATTGGGAAGTGCAAATCACAAGATGGTCAAGAGCTTTAGTTTGTACTAGTGGTGCAACTTTCCTCAACTGAGTGCTTTCCAGTACTCCTTTACCATTTAGACAAAACTAGCTTCCAGTATATGAAGCCAAGATTTATAATGCTTCAAGACCTGCCTTGACTGCATGTGGAAAGAATACTAGTGGGTTTGGGATGCTGTGGGTAACTTCGTAAATTCTGGCAATAAAACTGAAGGACTTGCCCCAAACGCACATTCTTTTATGAGTTTTAGATAATCAAAATTGTAATGGACTCAAGTCATTGCCTGCTACTTTCCAAGGTGCAATCCAGGAATATGAAGAGGCTGTGAAGCTTTTTTGTTTATTTTTGTAAAGCTCAATTATATATTTGTATTTTTTACATCAGGAGTGTCCACTGATTCTGGAGGAAGCCTTAAATGCCACTTAAAAGTTCTCCCTCTTTTAAGCCCCTTAGAGGTTGGGAGACTGCTGAAGTTTGACATATTTTCTTCCATTTTTTTTTTTCTCAGTTATGTGGGAGGAAGCTCTATAGTTCCATCAACTTAGTCTGCCAGCCAGACTTCAGGGACTCTGAATGTTTAATATTTGGTAGCTGTGTTACAGCTCAGTGTTGTAATAGTTCAAATCAATCAAATAAAGTACTTTATTAATTTTCATTAGCTTGTCTYGGTCTTCCACAATCTTTTTATGTTACAGGAAGATCCTTGGGGCAGTTGTGCAAAAACCTTGTTTTCATTATGTCAAATATCTGCATAGAAGACTTCAAACTAGTTAGTAGAAATATTTTATATTGTTTCTTATATCACAATCTAGAATGGCTTGTCTGCCTTTTTTTTGAAGAGAACCAAAACCATGGACTAATAGTTAACCTCATCTGCCTCTCACTGACAGAAGCAAGAGATGTACGACCTGGCTTCTGTTAGTATTGGAAACACAGAGCATCTACTTAACTCACTGTCTATTTGATTCTTCTGATAGGTCATTTACTTGGGAAATATTGGTAAAAATGATGACCTGTATATAGCCTAGGTAGCTTCAGATAAYACCAGTCATCTTCTTCTACTTAAATACAAGTGGAACAAGACATGCAATTAYTAGATAGAGACACTGTTTGATGGGCCACTTTTATTAACGTAAAAGGATAGTGCTAAGATCTTTACAAATTTGTAATGAAGTATTTACCATCCAAAGATGGTAGGGTATGGAACTGTGAGGGTTTTCTTCTTGAAAAAATCACAACAGAAAAAAAAAACTTGAAAAATAAAACTTATCAGTGGTGGAAGTACTATTTGTTCAGTTTTAGTAATCCTGTAAGGAAGAACCACAGTTACAAAAACTGGTTTTAAAASAAAACAACAAAGGCAGATGAATTTACAGCTTTGTCAAGGAATGGAGTTTTAACCTTCCAAAGTATTTTTTAACTGAGTCCCTCTATTGAAAAGCCTTAAAACTGATTTAGTAATGGATCATGCTATTGAATACTAATACCAACAATTTGGTTTGTGTTCTCTATTTGCATCTGAGTGATGCCTTAGTAAAACCGTTAATGTAAACAGTTGATCTCCATCCTTTCATTAAGTACTATTTCTGACWTTTATTAGGCAAAATATCAGTGACTTGCACTGACATGATTTGACATAACTGCAGTAGGGCAGAACAGCTGTGTAAGCTTAAATCTGGAGATAAATCAGGTTTTACATATTTTACCCAAACCAGTCCTTGAGTTATCATGGTTATCAAATATATCTAATTCAAGCAAGAATAGTAAATTTATTGAAGTGCAGTAATTAGGTAAATGACCCTTTGGTATTACAAAACAAATATTTTTCTGATATGGCAAAATATACCCTAAACTTTGAGGGACCGTACAACACAATCATTGTGTATACTAGACCAATTCAAAGCACCTTCATTAAGTTCTGCAGTTGGATAGGTCTGTGCAAGATACCACAATTGACTGAATTCTCTCTCTCTCCAGTTTTTTCCCCCTATGCCACCTGGAGAGGATCTCTGTCYTTCTCAGACACAATGATGTTGACTTGGTTCTTTAGGTGGATCGCGAGTGTGTCACGCAGTTCTGACAGGAAGCCTCGCTCAGTGTTACTGTGCTCACACAGAATAACACTTATCCCATTGGCAACTGCATCCAGCACGTCATGGTGGGACATCTCTCCTGCCATTTGGAGAAAGAAATGTCATGTAGATCACTTATGGGACAGTTCAGGTAACCATGTCTCTGCAATGTATGGAGAATCTTAGCTAAAAGCTGGGATGAGGTAATGGAACATAGGCCATAAGCGGAAGTGCAACACCACCTGCTCAGGAAGAACATGGCACACTCCTACTCCAGGGTCCTCTGTAAGACTTATCAATTGATGTCCCTGCTACAGCTGAGATAAAACCACAGAAATTCCTTGCCATCTTTGAAGAGTCRTAAATTATGCCACTTTGGGCAGAAAATAAAAATGCTCAGAGTGGTCTGGAAGAGGATGTAGAAAAGCAGTTGGGAAGCCTAGGGAGAGAAGGGGCAGGGATTCCTAYAGAATGCAAGGCAGCCTTCACATTGTTGAGCCCAGGGAACAGCTGTCCCACTGTCGGAAGAGAAAATAATGGACCAAGTGTCCCTTTGGTCAGACATGCTGTGGAGTTTGTGTGGAAGGTTCTGTAGACCACATTATATCCTATTTTCCAATAGGAAATTCTGTGGGGAATCGAGGAAATACATGTTGCCAAAGGAGAAACACACTGAAAGTTGCAACTCACTGCCATCAWCACTGATTTTGTGTTGAAATAAATGCAAGTAAAGCAATGTTTTGATTCAAAGATCTTTCACTATGCCACACTGCCATCTGATCCATGTTATCTCTACTGTTAGACTATCATTCCAATAACTAACTGATGGTTTCTCAATTATAAATAACAGGTAATTCTGGCCAAATCTAAACAGCCAGTCAACCTTATTTTTTGCTAGGGTTTTTTTGTTTGTTTTTCTAATCACTATTTTTATAAAGGTAATGCAACAGCATTCTATTACCTGTGAGGTAGAGGTCAGCTTCTGCTCCCTTCAGGACACTGCTCCCAGAACCAGCACACAAAGCAGCTTTCTTCACTGGTGATTCTGCAGAATACAAAGGTACCACAGTTAAACTCCTTCCCCTTTGTTCAGCCCCCTTGTCTGTATTGCTAGTAAATGTTTCACAGTTAACTACTAACTTGATTTTTGGGTCAATGTAAATTTGTTGGAGGAGGAGACACATCTGACAGTTTGAGAGAGTAACATTTGACAATACAGTGTCTGTGACAAATTATTTCTTTCAAGGGGCAGGAAACTTTGCAGGAAACTCCAGCACAGAGACTGGCTGATGGCTACCTTTCTCCTAGAGAAGTGTTTGTTAGGTTTCTGAACCCTTTAATAGGCTGCTACTCTTTCCAGGACTCTTGTGTTTCACCGTCATTCATTTCCCTAGGAATGATGCCACGAAAGCAGCATTTTGTCTCTGAGATATACTGGYTCCTGAGAGCTCTCAGAAGGCCAGTCTTAATGCAAGGTGAAAGCTGCTCCATGCCAATAAAAATCTATTTGCTGTGATTGCTATTTCTAAGCTATTACACATGTGACAGGAATTTTAATTCTTCATATGTGTTGCATTCACAAAGGAGAGGGGACACACAACAYAGAGTTTTCAAATCCTGTTAAGGTCTTACAGTGTGTTGCTTTGCAATTACTGTTGATTTAGGTGGAGTCACACCACTTCAATCCCCTACCATAAAGACAGGCTTCAGGTAGTTTGGGGACTTTTTAGTTTAATTGCAGCTCTGCCTCATAACTTACAGAGAGTTCTCAAYAAATGTGCTCTCACAAATTCTAGGAGGTGTGCTTCTTGGAGATCAGAAGAGGTAGCTGGGATAAGATGCTTAGTCCATGTCTTACCAATGACCCCACTATTTGWGCCAGTTCACCTTCTTTGCCTTACCTTTCATCAAAACATGTTTATGTGTTTATAAGGATACCCATAAAGTGCCCTAACTATTTTAAAGTGCTTTGAATTTTAACATTCAGTCACAAAAGGGAACGTACAATGAAGTAATACACCTTGGTGCCCTGGGCAGGAAAAAAAATCTTATTCATTATATGAATTACGAAAACAATGTATTGTATTCAACTTGTGCTGTCTCTTCTTCACTGCATCARCCAGCATAATACAGAATTCCATTAAAAATACAGATGAGATTCTTTTTGTATGACTCTAAATTCCAAGATGCTGTTTCTTAACAGTGTTTCATAGTGCTTGGAAGTAAAGCTATTAAAGACAGAGCAGTGTTTCCCACTCATGCACAGACTCATGCTCCTTCTGTTCCTGCAGGGCCAGTCCTAGCAGGCAGTGTGACTCGCAGGCCTGTTTACCCAGTGTCCTGCCCACTCCCACGGCTACACGGACATGGGCTAACTTCAGGTGGCCTTTGATCCGCTCTAKTATGTCTGACAAGGACACCGGCTCACTCAGAGTGCACAGACGTCCCATTCCAGTATGGGGAAGAAGAGGCTGAAAAGAAGAGAAAATTACTGTGAGAAAGCTGACTCCAGAAATTTGCACTGCTTTCCACACTGTAGAAGGATGAGTATATTGGGCATGCARAAACATCTCTGAACTTTACAAAAAAATATCTTTAGGATGTTCTCAAAGGTAACACACAAACTACATCAGCTATTGAAACTGATTTAAGAAYTAGTGCACACCACATAGATATTTTCATTGCTTTGGAAAACGTGTGGCTTCAAATCYCAACATGCCAGTATTTCAAAGCATTGGGATAGTACTGGAAAGCCACTGACTACTGCATTTCAGTGTGTAGGACACTCAGCTCACACAAGTAATACAGTCACAGGAAGTAATTTTTGTGATTCTGTTACCTTTTGTAGTAAGAGAATCTCAGTCTTGTGATAAAGAAGGCTGTTCTGGGACAATAATGCCACCACCTCCAGCAGTGCTTTCTGAGAGCAGTTCAGACTGACTCGTGTTTGCTCCTCMCCTTCAACTCTGAGGAGAGACATGCCTGGTGCTTGTTAAAAAATTAGATAAAATTTTGGCATTGTAATAATTATACTATAGCATTGTAATTATTAATGCAATGCACAGAGGAACAAAATTATTACAACAGTAAAATACAATTAAAGAAACGTATTGTTGCAAACAACAGAAAGGATACAACATTAGAGAATGGAACAAATACCTGACTGGGAGCGTGGTGAGACAGGAGATCTCTGGGATGTCTTTGATTTTGGACAGCACTGCATCCACATGCTCAGCATCTGCACAGAATTCTACCCGGTGAGTGCCYTCAGCTGGAGAGCTTGGCGCGGTTGATGGATGCAGTGGGACAGAGGTACAGGCACCTGAGAAAACAAGATTGCTGTTTTATCAAGCAGGATAAGCACCCTAATACTGATTCAGCACATATCCTGAAGAGATGCAGCAAAAAGATGCAGATTTTGCACTCAAACCCTTTTTCTGGTCGCAGCAAAAAGATGCAGATTTTGCACTCAAACCCTTTTTACCTGACCAGAACTGACGACTTTTTGTTCTTGTGTCTCCTTTCAGCACAATCTATTTTAAATCCAAAGAAGTTTATGGATATGTATTACTTGCCATTTTTAATGCCATCATTTTTATCTTAAGGATTGTACATAACCAGGAGTTTCTGATTTGTAAGACAGGCTGGAAAAGACAGAGCTGTTGTAATCTGTGAGCCACAATATACAGGATAAAAATCTACAATAATTTCATATAGCTCAAATTCTTAGAGATTGATCTCAAAAATGATTGAGATCTCAAAAACATTGMGATATTGTACTTTATAAATTAAAGGTGGTGATTTAAAGTCAGTGGTCTCAGCTTTGCAGCCACAGTGGACCACCATTCTCCACAATTTCCAGATACACTCAATAGCAGTCATGCATGGGAAAATACCCTCTTGTGTTTGTATCTGGCATACATCACCAAGATAAATTTCCTACAATGTGTTTAAGGTCATAGTACTAGAAACACGTTGGGAAAAATAAAAAACAGTCCTCAAATCACACTAAAAGCTGGAAGAAATGGAAAGATCCAACCTAAAAATACCATACACCGATTAATCATTGTAACCTTCTCTTGTTTGTACTTAACAGAACCTCACCGAGTCCCTTTGTTAGCCAGTTATTAACTCCGTGAGGTATGGCATCGTATGCCGTATGAGGAGAGTAAATTCCGATTCTGTTCTCCAGGGCTCGGACCACCAGCCGTTCCTTCCAGGTTTTCCACGTTACTCGCTTGAGTGGTGTGAATATAGGAGGGTGGTATGAAAGAACAAGGTCTGCTYTCTTCTGCACTGCCTCCTCCATCACCTCCTCGGTGAGGTCATTAGTGAGGAGAAGGGTGTTCACAATGTGGGGAGGACTTGGTTCCACCAGCAATCCCACATTGTCCCAGCTTTCAGCCAGAGAGGGGGATGCAAAGTCATTGAGAGCAGAAACGAGCTCCCGGAGGTTCATGAGGGCGCGTAGGGGCGGGCGGCCCAAGGCACGGACGCGGTGGAGARGCGGGCGGAGCAGCGGCGGGACAGGCAGCGGCATGCGGGGACCTGTGCGGGGCAAACACAGACCGCGATGAGCCTCGGCAACCCACCTGCCTAAACAGCAGCCACCGGCGCTCGGGCTGCGGAGGGTCGGTGCACCCGCCCACCCCCGGCACCATCCGGTACACAGCACACACCGCACCAAACGCACGGAGCTCAAATATCATCCATCCCCCCCTCCCGCGGCTAATCCGCCCAACAGAGCCCGGCCACAGAGGCACGGAAAGACCGGGACCAGGGGCCTCAGGTCACGGGCGGGTCCGCACCCGCACGGCGCTCACCTCCCGCCGGAGCAGGGGAGCAGGGGAGCAGGGGAGCAGGACCGGCGCTGCGGGGCGGGACCTGCGCTCGGCCCCGCCGCTTCCGCCGCCTTCAGCGGGGCTGGGGCGGCCCCTCCGGTCCGGGAGCGAGGAGCCGCTTCAGCGGCGGCGGGCGTAGGTCTGCATCAGCCCCGGCGGGTTAAAGCATCCTCCGATGGCAGTGCGCGGGCGGGTGAGCAGTGCTGCCGTGCTCGCCGGTGGAGGGGCTGAGCGGCGACGGGAGGAGCCCACTCGTCCTGTGCGCGACATTTCGGTGGCSCTGCCTCGGGCGGGCAGGAGGGGACAGCGAGGGAGCCGGAGCTCCGGCTGTCGTGGGTGSGGGGGAGCCAGGACCAGATGGGTTGGCCCTGCGGAGCTCTGCGGGCTCTGCGGAGCTTCACTAAGGAAGGCGGGTCTGTGGAGGAGAAATTAGCGCGTAAATCTGTTGGTTTGTACGCAGCTGCGGTTTCATTACTTGAAAGTAGTATAAATATTAAAATAAGTCGGATTCTGTGCTTGGATTCAGGTACCTGASTGTTGCAGGCACTCACAGCTCTGAGGAGCTGGCTCCAAATCACGCCTCTGTTAGGTACTGGCATGTGGCTTTTAGCTGCGAATTTCTTCCATGTACTACTCTGCCAACTACCATAATATTTGGAAAACCTGATTGCTTACTATAGATTTTCATCCTCGGAAAGGCTGGTTTTCACCCTCCCCTTCTTTCCCCAAGCGGTCTATTCTACACGGTTTTCATTTTTTATATGCTGTGTAGTTGCTTAATGCAGAAACTTAGTCGGAGTCTAAGGCTTCCACGCAATTACTGGAATGGTACTGTAGAACCGTGTGGTGTAAAAGCATGTAACCAACAAATATTTTAGAATCAAAAGAAATGAGGGTTAGCAGAATAAAAATCCCAATAAACCTCATACGTTGTCTTTGCAGGAAATTGCTGTATAGAAGGCTACCTTAGCTTTTTGATAAGCAGACATGGTAAGAATAAAAGCACTTTTTATATATTTTCATTCTTTCTGAAATGGTCATCTCTTGGAAAGCGAATAGCTGCTCTGCATCTCAAAGGATTACACATCTTACTCTGATGCTGTGAGGAATTTGTCATTAAAAGTTTAGGGTTTTCATCTCAAACTTATAAAAAGATATTGTGAAAAATAAAACAGGTTSGTTTACATCAGTCTAAAATACAATTATGTTTTCACTGCAGGGATCATGGCTTTTAATGCTACTTTGATAATCTAGTTTGGTTTCTTTCGCCACAGAAGCATTAGTCTRGTTTCAGGAACATACCTCTGCCTCAGCGTTTGTAAACCTCTGCGCTCACAGACTTTTAAAAGTTTAGCAAATCAAGAAATAGTAATAAGACTTTATGTGTCTTAAACTTTTAGAGGATTTTCATGGACATTGTGGGCAGCTGTCTCCTTTACTTGTATACTTTTGCAGTAGTATTCCAGTGTCAACATGATGCTGATTTTTATTAGTTTTTCTATTATCCCTGCAGTAATTTTTTGGCATAGTTTAACTCTTTCCATAGGAGCACTGTGATATTTTTAGCCTGTAGAGACCTTGTTGGCTTAGGTCACTGGCTAACTGACCTTAAATTTTATGAAGGYAATTTATAAATCCTTAAGAAAAGTAAGTTAATTTAGATTTGCTTGTTTGTGATGGCAGACTATATATGCTGCCRTTCAGAACTTTATCATTCCAAAGGCTGCAGGCATCAGTTTCTCTTCTGGTTGTAAAAGCTATGAGTTGTGTGCACCACATATCCAAAACAGATGTAACCTTGATTCTTCACCTTTACATTGAGGTGACTAAGTAGGACCTGTTGGCAAATTAATAATGTATTCCCGGAATGTAACAGCATAAAACAGCTACTGCATTATCGTGGCAAGCTTGATTTGTCCTGAAACTAATGAAATTGAGTGTTTCCAGGTGATTTTACTGGAGATGTGGATGGTTTGTGGCAGTAGCCTTGCTTATGGCYGAATATTGAAACAATGGTTATATGCAGTGCAAACTTCCTTATGTTTTTGGTGGGACTGGGAAATAAAAAAGTGTCTGTTAGTATTTCATTGACGATTTTATTATTATTTTCTGCCTTTTTCCTCAGGCTGTGACACTGCACACTGATGTGGGAGATATTAAAATTGAACTATTCTGTGAGCGCACTCCAAAGACTTGTGAAGTAAGTCAAGTGGCAGGAGTGGGATTGCCTAGAGGTGAAACAAAGGAGTAGAAATAGTGAAGACTGTGGAGGAGGTGAAGTGGCTTTTGCAATTTACTTTTCATGCAATGGAATATCAACATTTTCAGCTGGTGCAGTGTCTGTTCCGCTTATGGAACTTGTGCACTGTGTCATACTGCCTAGAGTTTAATGCCTGTTTCTCACTTGATAAGATTTACCTAAGGGATGCTTCTCTTGAAGTTCCAGCATCTCCCAAAGTGTCCTTTGCTTTTAAGGGGAAATGTAGCACATAGTGTGGGATTCCCAAATTTTCATGAGTTCTCAAACCCTCACAGACTTGATTTTAGTTTAAAAGAATGAGCCTCAGCCACTCCCAGTTTGTCAGGGGCCCCAGTTTTGACTTTTGCAATAAACTTTAACAGAAATAAATTTCATTTATTTTAATGAAAAAGTTGAGGCATGACATTATTCATTATAAAATTACATGTGCAAAATAAAATTGTTGAATGGGAATGATACTTGAGAGCATGTCTTARGCTTTTTATTTGTTGCTCAAGTGAGACAATGCACTGAAATTTTTTTTATTGTTTGTGTGTTACACTGTCAAAGGAGTTTATTAGCTATTATTTGTTTATGACTATTTTATGGCAATACTCTGGAATTCTCATGGTCACAAAGCAAAGCAGAGGTAAAAGCATTGGTCATGCCAATGCTGTCATTTTAGTAAGATAATACTGTTTTTCAGTTGTTTGTTAATATGGTTTGTTTGATTTTTGTAGAATTTCCTGGCTCTTTGTGCTAGTAACTACTACAATGGATGCATATTTCACCGAAATATAAAGGGCTTCATGGTTCAGACAGGGGATCCATTAGGTAAAATTCTTCTGTCTGGGTCTTTCCATTAAAAAAATGTACATAAAAACAAAATGTAAAGAAATGAAAAGGAATTATATATATTAAAAYCAAAATAAGTCAAGTAAGTAAAGTAAAAGTAAGTAAGTAAAGTAAAAATGTAAGAATTGTTGTATTGGTGATAGAGGTTTTTATGATGAGGTTAGTTTTCTGTGGTGGGCTTACAGAAGTCAGGTGTTACCCTGATTTTAAGTAATCATGTATGCTACAAGCTTGAGTTTTTCCACTAAATATGTTTCTGTTGACTTAAGGAGAAGTTGCCACTGTGCTTTGTGTGGCAAAGCACACTTTGCCTCTAAAGGATTTGGGGTAAATGTCCCAGACAGTGTCATGTTTGGGAGAAAAGCTGATRCAGTTGGATCTGTTCGTACTCAACTGAATTTAATTTGAGTATATGTCAGTGTTTTGTTCTTCTTCTTAATAGGTGTTCCTTATATAGAGTTATGTTTCTGTGCAGTGCCAAGAACCTGCCTCAAACTAATTGCAGGCTGTCTACTGTCTTTGTTGTAAAATGTTGTAACAGAACATAATTTCTGGGTTATTTCAGTCTGAAAATTCAGTAATCTCTACTGTGGTGCTTCTTTGTCAGGCACTGGGAAGGGAGGTAACAGCATCTGGGGCAAGAAGTTTGAAGATGAATTCAGTGAATATCTAAAGGTATTTCTGTGCTSTCAGTATGCACTTACATTTTCATCTGAATTTTCTCTGTAGGTTGGAGAACAATAGCATATTGTTAAAATGGGAACAGGTATTTCTGTGCTTGGCAAGATTTGAGGGTTTTCATCTCTGAAAACAGAATTTGAAAGACTTTCTGACTAGGCAAAAAAGTAATTTTTCACTGAAAGAGCCATTTTGAGGATTTAATTACTGATTGTGATAGAATATATTAGCAACCAAGATTTGTTCTCAGTAGTGGTATTGAGAAGAGTTCTAAGTCATAGAGCACTTTGCACAGGTTAGTCCTGGTTTCACAGGTGTGTATTCATGCTGAGGTTTTTCCCCTTGTTCAGCACAGTGTCCGTGGGGTAGTTTCCATGGCAAACAATGGTCCCAACACCAATGGATCACAGTTCTTCATTACTTATGGCAAACAGCCACACCTGGACATGAAGTACACRGTGTTTGGAAAGTAAGTGACCCAACTGCATGCCTCCCTCAGAATGTGTGAGGAATCTGAGTATTTGGGAGCACGTGTGAATGCTTGTCCTTTTTCTCAGAATCTGTCATTGACATTTAATATTTCCTTTCAAAAAATATATTATTTGCCACATAAAATGTTTTGATTGTCTTATTTTGTATCATTTGCTTGCAAAGTCCTTGCCCTGTGATACTTCACTGTAAAGTGTTTTGAAATACCTCAGCTGTGAAATTTAAATCATTATTAGAAGGTGATTACTGTTTTTTCTTGCAGAGTTATTGATGGCTTGGAGACCCTGGATGAGCTGGAGAAGCTGCCTGTGAATGAGAAAACCTACAGACCTCTTAATGATGTTCGCATTAAAGACATTACAATTCATGCCAACCCTTTTGCTCTGTAGCCACAGAATGCCTCAACACATTCTTCAGAGACTGGTCAGGTAATTCCCAGATTATGGGGTTTAAAGAGCCATCARAAAGGGTTACTTCAGCTGGATCATATTTTTGCTTGTTGAATGTTGAATTTTCAGGAGCTGTGACATTGTTTAGGAGCTGTCACTGAGAAGTCTTGTGCTTCAGAAGCCGTATTTTCCTGGATTTTGATTTTTAAACATTCTTTTTTATACTTCTAAAATAAAAATAATTTTTTTCCTAATCTTTGGTTTTTGCCTTATCTTTCTGAGTGATGCTATGTTAAAACAATGCCCTTTGCTATAATTTAATTATGAAATTTTATGATTTATGAAACTTTSCCATGTAAATTGTAATCTTCYT